CGTATGCTCTTGTGCATGTTGTCGCAGAGTGGACTATTGGATTCGTATTTTACAGAGCGTCCAATATCACATAACCACGGCTCCTCTTGCCACACTCGCTGTACTCAAAGTTCAGGTCTCGATGTATAGGGATGACAAATATGACCTCTTGAAACGTATAGACTGTTTAAAAATAGCCAAGTCCCAGCGTCTCATCTGTCCGACAAACAACGGGTGTGCAATTATTTACATTGGTAGTCCTGAGCCAGCGGAGGAAATTCCACATTCTTGTGGAGGGGATCAGTCCTTCATGAGATAACCACTTAAAATGAATATTCAATCAGCAATATTTTAAATCAATAAAATATCTGAGCCTGATGGCTATGTTCATGAAACCAAAACAACAGGTTTGAATAAGTTTGGAAGTGTATTTAAACTACGCATTCATGCATGCTCGCGCGAAAGTGAACGTGCTTACATCTTGCAATTGTTAAAATATTGACCACATAATCAAATTAAAATAAAGTTGCTTTTCAATATCGACAGCGCATTAAAAGTATTTACCTCTTCGTAACGGTAGCTGTGGAAGGAGAAATGCAGTTATTATTTTGCATTATATTAATCTAAGTGCTAATTTGTAGGTGATCTTCCAAGTTGAGATATGGATGGAGCTGAGCACGACCGGACACAAGTTAACAACTCTTGCGAAATTACATGAACATCAGTTTCACAGCAGACGGTAACACCTGCAGTGTAAGCAACAATGCCCACATGGATGTGTTTTGCTTTCCAACCCAGAGCAAGTTTTTGGCAACCAAGCTAAGTGCCACCGCGTGCCGTTTTATCGCAAGGCAGGAGAGACATTAACAAAAAGCCAAGCCCACACACGCACACACACGCGTGCGCTACAGGACACACGGACAACTTTACAGTCCAGCAAACATATGGACGGGGTGTCAGATGATAATTTAGGAGCGCTCAAACACAATACAATCAAGATGCGCGCAAGAGCTGCGATTCCGTTATTCGCACACACGCCGCTGGTGGTGCTTTAGCTGCAGCTGTTATCGGCTTCGGGCGGCTATAAATATTCCCGGACAGACACCGTTGGACGGAGTGCGGCGGTCTCGGTTATATATAACACACTGTGTGTCGCGGGCACAGACAGGAGCCATTCTACTCCAGTTTGCATTTGCCAGTAAAAATAGACAGAGGCCTTCTTCGTTACGTTTTTTTGTTTGTCTCCTTCTCTCTCTATCTCTCTGCGTGTTTCTGGTGCCACTCCCCTCTTGCCAGAGCGGAGCGCGGTTACCGAGACTCGGGATACTCGGCCGCTCTCTGTCTTTGCTCTGGTGATTGCATTGCACGTTAGCTGCCCCCCCCCCACTCCCCAACACGGATCGTAAGCCAGCCACCGGAGCGCTTTTGGCAGAGCCAATTCCCTGCACGACCGAAGAGCCCCCACTATTTCTCGCTTGGGCCTCGTTCCAGCTGTTGCGAAATTTGTGGTCGGCTCAGACACGTGCTTCCCGTATGTGCACATCGTGAATTAAATGGGTGTTACATCAATTACAATTGCGACCGACAGGATACGTGGGCCCGCCTGATTATATAACGCGGGGGGGGGGGGGGGGTAACTAATTATGGTTAGAACAGCTTTGGTGAATGGGCGGAATGAATAAAAAAAGTGGAAATGGGCAGCTAGGTAGAGAAGGAATGGTACAGGACTAAGGATCCCAATCAAAAGCGATTGGCATTGGAAAATATTATTTACCAATGATTGTTTTTCCTATTATGCGATCAATGGAAAAATATGTTCAAATCTAAAAAAAAAAAGACTTCCACTGGAAAGCCCTTTCAATAGTGTGGTATATTCTCACAATCGCATGAAGTCAACGCGAATTAAAAGTGTGTTTCAGCAAACAGGCAATGGTGACAGCGATCATCTCTGGTGGTGGTCCGGAGTCAGCGGTTGAAATTCCACGTTGCATTCACGAGGTTCAGTCGATTTAAAGCTTTCGTGACTGCAGGGATTCATCTTCTTGGTTTTTTCGGTAAAGTCACGTAAAAGGGAAGTAATAAAATAATAAAAATAAAACATAATAAAATCATTCTCACGACGTTTCGGCTACAACGCAAGCAGCCGTCTTCAGGTGAAGAATGAGACACAGCCAAGCTAGGAGCTTATATATAAGCTGACATTCTTTTGTTAAGGCGCTCATCTTCCACCTCCAACTCAGCTTATATATAAGCTCCTAGCTTGGCAGTGTCTCATTCTTCACCTGAAGACGGCTGCTTGCGTTGTAGCCGAAACGTCGTGAGAATTATTTAATTATGTTTTATTTTTATTATTTTATTACTTCCCTTCTACGTGACTTTACCGAAAGAACCAAGAAGAGGTTCAGTCGATTAAAGTGGCAATAAAAGTTTATTATTCTAGAAAGCAGCACTCGTGCTACTGACGCTGACGAAGAAGATGTGCCGACTCAACCCTGTGCTGAGAGTTCTGACTCGGAGCCCTTCTGATTGAGTGAAGCCACCCAGGAATAACTCGAAGGCAGTCACAGAAGAGTGTTTGAAACAATCAAAAGTTTGAATATCTCCAGCCAACAATAATTCCCAACAGCTGAAAAAGTGCAGACAAAGATAAAATACCATTGAGTACACAATGAGATTAACGGCGTTTCAGAAAAAAACAGCGTCATGGAAAAATGTCCTCGAGAGACAAGTGGGACAAAGACAAAGATCCCCCACAGAGCCTTAACAGACTGTTGGGTCAAGTGCTGTTAACGAGTAGCACCGATGAAGGCTGGCACGGCACACGAGGGGGTGGATGGCCAGTACCAAGCCCGACCGCCTTTGTCTCCCCAGCGGCGATATTTACTCACCACACCAGGTACTTATTTGAGGCTGAGTCGACCGAGAGGAGGTCCTAGACTGGTTCAAATAATCGTCACTGGTGTTCGCCGTGAGCGGGAATCGAACTCTCATTCAGCCAAACGTCTCAGAGAAGCACAAATAATGAGTGTAAGTGCATTGTTTTGCACACAACATCGCCACTAGGGAGACAAAGGCGGCCGGGTGTGGTGCTGGAAATGCACCCCCTCGTGTGCCATGTCGGCCTTCATAGGTGCTCACTAACAGCATTTGCCCCTACAGAATGTTAAAGGTAACATGGGGGATATTTATCTAGTTTTACATATTATTCATCTAAGATGTCTATCTTGATCCATTTGATGTAAATAATCAGTATTACAATTTGAGAAATTTGAAATTTTTTAAGTGAAATTCCAACGTGCTAATAGCAAAGCATTTGACCAACAAATTGAAAAGGTACTTTTTTTTTCAGACCCGTTCACTAACTCGGGGGTTGCTGTCAGCATTACGCCCTGCCTCTGTGTAGCGAGGCATTCTTGCAACCTAAAAAAAAAATATTCACGTGCATGACGAAACTTAATAATACTTGCGAGCTTTGCTTGAACCTTGAACTTTGGTGACACCCACAGTGTGTAGAACTCTACGTGGTGATGCCAGATGCAAGCTTACAGCTATAACATAAGAGGTAATTTCCCATCATTTCGCAAGCATCATTGCGAAGATTTGAAAAAAAAAACTATCGAAACCTACTCATGTCTTACCCGTTCGTAATGCTATGGCAACTGCTCTTATGGCTAAGACAGGTTGATTAACCAAGACAAGAAAACCATGAACTTGTATAAGTTGTCAAGATAAAGTAATACGGTAATACCCCGATTCATGTCTCCCCTTTTAACGTTGTTACTTGATTTATTAATGCCACTACCTGATTTTGCGTCGCCTCAACCCACTCTCACGTCGCTGACGGCATCGTCCGTCCTTTTTCGTTGTGCGTCGCTCCTCAGCCTTCGCCTCGACATCCTACCCTGCATATCGCTTCCATTTACGTCGTTGGGACGCATGCAGGAACGCATCTCCAATGTAAACCGGGGTATTGCTGGAGTTGAATAATACAATCTGCTGATGCCGAAATGGGCTTGAGTCTACGCTCAGATGATTGACCAATTGAGCCGACGAGTTGCGCTCCGCTCAACGCGCTGGGAGCTTCCCCCACGGATGGCTTCAGCGTAACTCCACGTGCTGGGAGCAAAACGTCAAGAACATCATGCCGGACAACAGGTGGTAGATCCCAAAACACGCGCCCGAGAGCAATACCACGCGGAACGACGGAGCGAAAAACATACGCAAGTGGAATTTGGCTCGTTCAAAGTAACAAAAATATTCAAAGCTTGCAACGCTCAGCACGCGTGGGTTTGTATCCGGATGCCGCGGTTTCCTCCCACATGTAAACACCCGCTAATTGCCCGATACCACCTTGGCACATAAGGGACTGCAGAACTTGGACAATTGCCGGTGCTGGCTCACCGCGTGGCCGCCTTACTGCTCGTTCGCGATTGCTCGCTCCTCTGAGTCTTTCTCGCTCTCATCTATTGAGAGGGAAAGTTTGCTGTGCGGCATGTTACGAGTTCAAATTATTATTATTACGAGGATAAAATAAGCGAGTTAGCAATACTGATTCAGAGGTGGAACATGCACATTTCCATTGCGGGGGACAATTCTCAATCAGGAACTACTGATGATGTCCCAGAAAGTAGTGCTCAAATTAAAATGATGGGCTTTAGTCATTCACTATCCAGGATGTTTTACCACTCAAGATTTCAACTGCGAGTCAAACACTCGAAAACCATAGCGCCGGTCAACAGAACTTTCATCCAATTCGCTTATAGAAATAATTGTATTGCATCCAAACGTTAAGATTCGCCTGACGAAATAATCTACCGATTGCAGCGAGACATTTTAAAGGATTGTGCGAAAACCGGCCACGTCCTCTTGAAAACACGACAGAAGGTAACTCAATGACGAGAGGAGCATTAAATCGACATCCGACATTACGCCCGGGCGAACTAGACCTTGTGCAGAGCGAGAGAGAGAGACAGAGGAAAGACAGATGGAGGAGGCCGTTGCTATCTGACGAGCTCACTAACCAGCAATTCATCCTGCCATGGGCTGCCAGAAGCCCGGGCGAAGTGGAACTCACAGGCAGCAGCTCACCAGCAGCTGATCTGCAGGACAGAGGGGAGGGGAGGGCAGAGAGGGAATGGTGAGAAGGGTGTGGGGGCGGGTGTAAGGGGGGGGGGGGGTCGCTGCTGTGGACACAGAAAAATGCCCCCCCACCCACCAACCCATGCATCCCCACAACCACGTCAGCGATGTACGCGCACGTACGTTGAACTTCTTTTGCGCAGTACGTAGCCAAACGCGCTAATCGGAGGTGCCCGGCAGTGGGCACCGGCGCGACCGCGAGGAAAGACGTGTGGCTTGACTCGTGCGTGTTTGGCGAGGCTGGTGGCGTGTGCACGTGGTGGTGGTGGTGGTGGGGGGAGGTGTCATTATGCTCCCGGGGTACGTCACCTCCTGCAGGATTATTCGCCCGTGTACATTTGGTTATTGAGATATTCTTAGGTTTTTTCGGTAAAGTCACGTAGGTAAAAAATTAAAATTAATAAAAGTTAAATAAAAATAAAAAATAAAAATAAAAAATCACGACGTTTCAGAGGCAACACAAGCTTCCGTCTTCAGGTGGAACCGTCACAGCCCGACAGCTGTATCAAGTAAATGAGAGATTAAAAGCGATACCACTCTGTATATATAATGGTTGAGGGGGGGGGGAAGGGCCAGGAACGGCTCACTTTTCATTATTGGTTATTGAGGTTTGTCGCGTGAAGATTTGCAACAGTGTGATCTCGCGCGCCCACACACATTTCGTGCACTTGATATGAACGTGTTCGATAGAACGCGTTCAGGGTGTTTGGCGGGTGATACATTTCCACGCGAGAAGCCACTTTGTTGAGACGTCATTCGGGGGCCAGGTGACTTCCGAGAAAGAGCCACATAACTCAGTGGGACTTACCTGGCTAAATAAAAAAAATAGTTTCGTTTCGTTTACATGTTGGTAGTACTGTACAGATGCTACCCAAAATAGAACAATAGCACGTTTAGCCTGATAGACGATAGGCGAAGTTGTTGTTAGCGAGCGCCTATTAAAGTGATCGCATCATCATTTAGCGACACTTGTAGTGAGCACGCAGACGGCGTGATCGTAGAGAGGGTTGAAGCCGAGCATGTGTACGCTTTTTCAAAGCGTCACTTTTGTTTTAACAAACTCCTTCTCTGGAGGAAGACCATTCGAAGTGCTATTTCTGAGGTGTGGACAAAAGTAAAACTTTGAATGCTTTAAACATTGTTTCGTAACACAGATCAACGGCAAATGGCATGAATAACGCTGAACAAGGTCAGCGCTGCGAACAAGAAGAGCAGCCTCTACACCCCGACAGCTGCCTCCACGTCTCCCCACACCGCCGATTTGATTTTCACACACCAAACCAGGTATTCGTTTAAGGCCGAGTCGGCCTAGGGTATGCCCTACACACATTCATGCATTTACGTACTCACAACACGCCGGTAGTCCCCCGCACCTCCAATTTCAACCGCAAATTCCGATGTGCACGGTCGGCTACGTACGATGCGGACGAAATTCAGCGCACGTGCGTCTCTCGTGAAGATTCAATGGCCACGGCACGTGGGTTTGGAACCTCGTGCCCGATCCAAAATGTTCTTAACGCACCTCTATACATAGAACGAGCTGACCAGCACAGCGCCACGAGCGATCTTTCAGTGTTTCAACAAATTCTTTCCAGTTGCATTGCGAAGGCCTGAACCAGTCGTGATCGCGCGTGCGGGGAGGGCAGCTGTGGCATTGTAAATCACTTGTCTCTACCATTCCGAACAAACACGAGTTGGATGTCAATGGGAATGAATACTCTGGAGAAATTGCTCGTGAAAGGCTTCCATGTCATTAATTTCTAATGTAACAAGTTTCTTTTTTTGGTCGTGTCGTGTAAAGTAAAGAAGAAGAAAATACATCCAGTTGTGCGGCACCGACTGCTGTGGAGAGTGGTCAAGGGTTGTCTTAATACCTTTCACCGTCCCTCCCCGGCCACTACTTTGTTGAAAAGTCAAAGTCATCATATTGTGGGGAAGGGGCATTTACCGCTGCCATAGAAATGTGGAATTTCCATCACTGACTCAGGGCTGCCAAAAGAAAATAAGCACAGCCCCAGAAAAGTTGGCTTTTTTTTCACTTAATGTAAAAAAAAAAATGTATACCCTCTAATTGTTCACGTTTTCACACATCAATTACAAAGGCAACGATCCCCCGTGTAGCCTCAACATAGTGTTGGGGCAAGTGCTATTAGCAAGCATCACCTATGAAGGCCGTGACCAACTTTGTTTACACATCACGCCAGGAAATCGATTGAGACCGAGTCGGCCGAGGAGAGGTCCAGGACCGGATCAGATAATCGTCACCGGTGTTGGCTGTGAGCGCAGTGGACTTATCCACTTCACCACGGCTCCAAAGACACAGTACCCATTCAACGGCTGAGTCGACCTAGAGGATGCCCGCAACAGGTTCATATGCCACGAAGCACTGATATTATTCGTGGCTTGGGAAAAAAACTCACGGTCAGCCGGATTGCAACTCAGCGTGGGCATGAACTCTATGCGAAAAGGACAAAGACCACCACGTGCAGCCCACACAGGCTGCAAGTGTTGCTTGTGTGTGTGTACGTGCACGCAGGGACATCTATTCTCAATACAACCGCCATGAATTCCGAACAGGCTTCTACTTTGAAAGCTCAACAGGCAAAAAAAAAAATCTGTATTCGGTTGCGACGATATCGAAAGAAGATTTAGACTCGAGCTCAGACTGCCCTGACAGTACATTCGGAAGCTACCGCGCATTACTGAATGCAGGTCGGCTTGCCAAAGCGCCAACTGCAAGCTAAGCGCCAGCAGTTCAGGCTGAAGCAGGTGTCCGATGGCAGAATAACTGGATGGACCTCTTAACCCTGCACAGCAACCATGCTCATATATGTGAATACATAATACACTTGGCTGCGGTAGCAGATGTCACACATTCGAGAATGTATGACTAACATCAATTACATGCGAAACCACATTTCAGGCCCTGGGAATTTGTTTGCTTTTCTTTTTGATGTTTTTTTTTTACTCAATGTTTTAACGGTTCAGTATTACACATTGCAATACATGTTTTTTTTTATTTTCAATGTTACGTGCTATAGCAGCGTCATGCCATGTGACGGTGACTTCATTTGGCAATCACGTAGGGCAGCGAAATCAGCCCGTGTTAGACAACAGTCCACAGAAGCAGATATCACAAAATAACTTCGGAAATCTCTTCAAGTGACCTCGTATCTACACTTGAGGGCAGGGCTGTCGAACAAGCTGACAGCCAAGGTTCGTTGAGTGAAGGTAAAAAATTAATATTTGTAATTTTCAGAGCCGGATTTTCCGCCAAATAACAGCTTGAAGCCAAATTTAACACGATGTTTTTTTTTCGTCGTGTGCGTTCCGTCGTTTGGTGACCAACTCTGGGAACATCGACTCACTTCAATTGGTGCCATCACAGGCCCCTGTGCAAATGCAAACACAGCCCTCTCAGCAGTGTCAGCTCACTACTGCTCTCAGCCACTGAGCCACTGAACCACCTGAGTATTCCACGTTAAATGTTTCACTTGCTCGCAACAAAGGGTTTTATTTGGGGGGTTAGATCGCGTGAACATCAATGTGTTGTCAACCCACCACCACCCGGCACAGCCAATCGTTAAGGTTTGTCACGTAAACTAAACGTGCTGATTGGTGACTACTTCAGCAACGCCGGTGTGTTGGAAGGTAAACCCACAATGTTGTATTTATGCGATCTAAGCTATAAGAAAACTGTATTCCGAATAATATCGGTCGTGAACGCCTACTACGTGTTAAACGTTACAATTACGATTCAGAGAGAAGTTTTATTTTTATCCTGTGTTTAGGATAAAACGGTGACTTTTTAAAATAAAAAAGTAAAGCACCATTGATAGTCAATATTTCTCAGGCAAATAAGCCCTGGATGCATGTACAGTAGTTGAATAAGAAAGTGTGCAAAGTATTAAAAATGCGCATGTGGGTAACTTTTAAACCATACCAGTCAAAATTGTTGTTTTATGTTCGGACATCGTGATGTATTCCCACGCGTTCCTCAAAAGATGCAGCGATTCAAAGGTAATGCCGAACACAGTTATGAAAACATTAACACCCCATCCCCCCTGGTCTGCGCAAATGATTGACTCACAAGTGACGACACCACATTTATCAAATTATTAAAAATGTAAGAAAGAAACAGGAGGATTTCTCCACAATTCTGTCTGTCGCCTGATGAGGCCGATTGCAACGTCGTACTCGAATTGTAAATGTTGTGGGTTTACTCTCCGACACGTTTACGTGACAAACCTCACTAATTGGCTGTGGCGAGTGGTGGCGGGTTTAACAACACATTTACATTTATGTCATCTAACCCCAAAAACCTCTCATTATGGATATCGCTCGCAAAAGCCTGCTACGTGTCAAACTGCAGACTGCTACCTCTCGTATAGACGTGTCAAGCAGAGCTGACGTTAAGACAAGAGGGCTTGGACAGGACAAGTCATGACCGATTGGTCAAGAATAAGAACAGAGTGGCATTCAAGGAATGGAACGTGTCTGACATTAGATCCCTCAAGGAGATGAAGCAACGAAATGAACTAATGCGCATGCGACAGATGGGTCATTGCACAAGCAGAATCGCAGGAGATGGTGGCGACTTGGGGAGGCATTTATCCAGCAGTGGATTGACCATGGCGGAAGATAATGACGATGATCTGATAAAGAGTGTCTTGAAAGGTGTCTTAGAGCATGCAATGGTCTACGTTTTCCGCTCTGGCTGGCGCTGTGGTAAAATCACGAGGCTCGCAATTGGAAGTTTGCGAGTTGAAATGCTGGTCAGGGGTTGGCTCATCCGAGGTCGATAAAGTAGGTACTACTTTGTGGGAAGGTTGTCGTGGCCATCCCATGAAGATGAGGAACTGTCACTGCCGGTTTATGGCTGCCCCACAACTCATTTGACCAGAGACCCCACACTTTGACCTTTTTTTCTTTGCTGAGCAAGGTTCATCACCGGCGGAGA